TAATTTTAGCCAGGGGCTAGTTAAGCTAATCACTTTTGTATGGTACTATTCTTAGCGTCCGAAAAAAAATTTCCTTTTGAGAAAAAACTTGATGAAGTCGGTGTGCAGGAAGGTGTCAGTATATCAGCAAGGTAATAAAATGCGATACAGATTCAATCAACCAATGAAATCCTTTTTTTCTGCCAAAGAGTACGGATTTTTATAAACTTCTGAAGATGATCAAATCTCACCTTTAAGTGATAATTCCTAAACGAGTTGTTTTTTCCAAATCCTTCACAATCTCTGCCGATGATTAGTCGAGGCACCAGTGACCAAGACTTCAATGAAACAGATTTCGCTCTAAGATAACCCTTTCAGTTAGACTAAGAACCAACCTTCATTGACGCTTCCATACATCGTTTACTCACACGTTCCATACGAATTGCATCGTTCACAGGAAGATAAGCGGCAATTCTTTCCAAAGCAGCTGGAGGTAGATCATCCAGTGATGTGCCCTAGATGAAGAGTTTTGTAATTACCGTGCCCCATCGTACCTATTCACACACTCAGATCTGCTTAGATGACTGAAGTCTAACAACCACTTGCTTCCCCCAGGGAGCATACGAAAGTTACTACCAAACTCAGCAAGAATACTTCATCAAAAGAAACTCACTTCGTAACCGCTCAGGGACATTGTCGTAGATGCCAGCGATGCATCAGATGGTGCACGACAGAGACTATATACATCATCTAAAAACATGGTCTGAAATAATTTGGAAGGGAAGTAAGAAAAGAGCAGTTCGAAATGGGCAAAAATCCCAGAATGCATCTAAGGAAGGAATTTTCTACAGGGTAAAAAAAATGATTAGTGACAAATTCAAAAATTTTGCTCAGTTTATAAAACTAAAATATGTTTTCAGCAAGTTTTGCCGAGAATCAATGTGAACTTTTTGCGGTGTCTTAGTTTTACGGCTTTCCCTCTTACTTTATTGGCCAACAATTAGAATCAGTGACTTACCTCTACTGTCGTCCGACAGTATGACGCCTTTTCCCCCTTTCCGTCGTGACACGTACTGAAATACGAAATTAGCCAGGTTAATGCGAAATCCCACTTTGAGATGAACGATAGATTCAAAAACTACAAGTCAAGGAAGTTGTATTTTCTCGTTACCATGGTAATGATGCATAGAAATTTCTCGAGGGAAGTGGAAGCTCTATATATTTGACATAAAAAAGCTAACCAAATAAAATCAAATAGTGAGGATCAAGGCGATGAAAGAAATATTTTTATTACAAAAAAAGAAGCACTCACCGCTGACACTACCATATCATGATCGTAAAATCGCAGTTGTTCCGGTGTAGCGTTTTTCGCTTTTTCTGCATCTTCTGCTTTTCTAAAA